TGTACAGTAATATTAACTGATGATAACCACGTTTTGAGCACAAACTATTGCTCATAATCATATCAGGTCACTCAAACAACTTTTTCCTTCATTTATATACATGAGTAAAATTGATTAGACATTTGAATAAAATGAATAAAAATAATAATAGTGTTATCAATCAAATACAGTCAGATGGGAAATAAGACGAGTGTTTTTATAGTCATAATTAGTAACTTGTTAGAATGTTGTGATGTACTTGAATTGAAGTAGAATTTTGAGATTATTTATTATCCTCTTCTGATTTGACTGGTAATAATATCTTGCATATCTCTGGTATTTGCATTGAGTCATTTCTATTGCGCATGTGTTGGGTGTAGACTCAATGAATCAATCTCTCTCTCCGCCTACATAGATTACTTTTTAGAATTTTAGTGCATGCAGTGCACTGCATGCATTAACACACAACCACACAATAGGTTGGGAGACGGTTAAAATTCTAAGAAGTAGGTAGGTGGAGAGAGAGATTGATTACTGAATCCTGGCTGGTTCATCGAGTCTACACCCAACACATGCAACAGAAATGACTCAATGCAAATACCAGAGATATGGAAGATATTATTACCACCAGTCAGTCAAATCAGAAGAGGATAATAAATAATCTCAAAATTCTATTTCAATTCAAGCAAATCACAACATTCTAACAAATTACTTATTATAACTATGAGAACATTCGTCTTATTCCCATCTGATTGTAATTGATCAATAACACTCATATTATTATTTCTGAACGTACCTTATCACATATTGATTTTTATTCAAATATCTAGTCAATTCCACACATGTATATAAATGAAGGAAAAAAGTTGTGTGAGTGACTTGGTATGATTATGAGTGGCGATAGTTTGTGCTCGAAACGTTATCAGTTCATATTACTCTATAACACTGAGTGATTTATCGAAATAAAATCTTATCCATAATGGAGTTATACTCAAATCTGTTGTTTCTTAAAACTCACTTTGATAAATAGCATGATAAACGAAAGAATAAGAGTAGTTTCTGGATCGGAAAACCACCTGATATATGAGTGCTTCAAAACTACGGCGTGCAATGTCGAAGTCTTTTTCAACCTCATTCAACAACTGGTCAAATGAAAATGACATGTGCCAGGCGATCCACTCAGCGTGGCTTTCGAAGTGATTACAGGAGTAAGACAAGCTGAATGCCTACTATCACTCACGATGATGCTCCCAATTGTGGTAGATTGGATTGCACGGAACACTGTGCTTGGGGAGCAGGAAGACAAGGATACAGTGGACCAGCGATAAGAAGACTCTAGAAGATCTGGATGTCCCACGTCGATGATCTATATCTACTGTCACACAAACTCGAAGACTTACATGTGAAAACTAACAAACTGGCAAAAGTGGCAGGCGGCGAAGACTGGACTTTAGGTGAACACAGAGAAGACGGAGGTGATGAAGATACCCACAAATCAACAACAACAAGTAGCACCAGTCACCATCAACGGAAGAGATTCAAAAGAGGTTGCCTCCTTCATTTACCTAGGAAACCAGCATCGTTTCAACCACCAGCACGCCGAACGGATGAAGACGTCAAAGTCAGCCAGTCAGAATCAGAAAGGCAAGATACGCACACGCCTTCATCAACCTGAAACAATCTTCTGCTTCACTCAACTGCATAATGGACAAGATTCGGATTTTCAACATAAATGTGAAGTCAGTCAGTCAGTCCTTCTATATGGGTCAGAAACATTGCGCACGCGTCACCAGAGGCACTTCCAATAGTTTGCGTACCTTTCATCAATAGCTGTCTTCTCACCATCTTGAAGATCAGATCGTCAAAAAGAATTAGCGACAAGAAACCCTGGGAACAAACTAACCAAGAGCCGATCGCTAAAAACAAATATGTAGGAGAAAGTGGAGATGGATCGGGCACATACTGAGGAAACTGTCGAATGACATCTTGCGCAATGCGGGCCATCCCTCGTGTGGAATCCGAATGGGAAGCGACGAGAGGGTCGTCAGTGCGAGGATGACATGGAGGAGATCGTGTGAGGAGGAGATGAGAGAGTTTTGACAGTCGTGGACCCAGTTGGAGAGGATGGCGGAAAATAGAAGAAAGTGGAGAAGTGTTGTTGAAGCTCTGTGCTCCACTCAAAACCCAAGGTTATAACAGTAATATGACACTGACATTGGTTCCTTTACTTTCCTAATGGAGCATGGGGCTTCAGGCTCTAACTTTGAAGTTTCAGTAGCAATCGTGTTTTTTACAGAGTCGGGCTACTAGCCTCACACTCAACCTTCCCTCTTTAGCAGGCTTGCCACCATTTGATGGAGTTAAAGAATTGCATCGGCCGAGAATCAGACCCTGAAACATGTGCTTGGTTGTCAAGATTCCTACTGCTGAACCACCAACGCACACATGTACAACACACGACTGGAACTTATCATGTACAACAATTTCGTAACAATATAAAAAGTCAAACTTTCAAGGTTTAAATTACGTCCTTGAAGTTAACTGGTTGTTAAGAGATGTCTCACTCAAGGGCAAATGGATTAATTTCTATCCTTTCTAACTCATTCCTATTTAAAAGTAGAGTAATATTCCGAATTTCGATTGTTGTTATACTCAATAAATTGTACAAATTAAATCACCGATCGTTTTATTCTGATCTGGTGTTGTTGTTTCACATTCACTCTAGAATTAAACGCTCCTCTGACTTGTATCGAGTCTTACCGTCCTAATAGTCACATACACATGATAGGTAATCAGTATTACCTAGTTTTCAATAATTTAAAGTAAAAATGTACATTTATTAGTTACTAGGACTTGTCCAATGTCACACGTCTAGTCCTTAATATCGGTGCTGACTGAATACTATCAACCAAGTTTTCTTTTTAGGTGCTAGATCATGCTAGATGCGCTTGGATTTAAAGTTGGATTTATTATTATTGTTATAGTTGCCTTAGGTTCCGAATGGAACACAGAGATTCAGTAACACAACTCCACTTCGTCCTCTTCGCAAATCTTCTCTTCAGTTGGCCCTACGGTTGCCCATAGTCTCACATCTACTCCTCACACGATCCCTTCCAAGCCACCCACGCACCAACACCCAACTCGTCGTTTTCCATTCAGGGTCTACTTGAGCGATGGCCTGACACGCGATGTCGTTCGAAGGTTTCTTCAGCGTGCGTCAGATCCATCTCTATTATCTCCAACATATTTGGTGACCAACAGGTCCTTGATTTACTGGTTCCTAATTCTTTCTGGCTGGTCATTTCATCTTCACTATAGGGCGGAGGCAGCTGCGGGCAAGAGTTTGAAACCTGTTCAAAATGCCATTCGTGACGTAACACTCAGGTTTCTGACCCATAAAAACGGACTGACTGACTTAACGTTGGTGTGGAAAATCTGGGTCTTCCTGTTTATGCTGCTGATTGCAGAATATTGCCAAATGACTTCAGAGTGATGAAGGTCTGCCCTGAATTTCCGATTCTGGGCTTGACATCATCATCCTTGTCGCCTGTAGTCGAAACGACGATGCTTAGATAAGTGAAGGAAGTGATCTCTTTCAAATTCCTTCCGTGGATAGTGACTGGTGGTTGTGTTGTAGGTTGGGTGGAAATAATTGTCAAGAAGCCCTGGGCTTAGGTTTCGCAGGAGGGATATTAGTTCCTTCGAATTTGTAGACAACTTTACTGAAAAGTGCTACCAAGGAGACGAAAAGACAAAACATCGGTCAGCTGTAGACCAAACATTCGGCCTTAACTTACATCAAAGTTTGTATCATCGGATTTTCATTGTAACAATACTAACCAGTGGCTTTAAACTTGTAGTTTATTTGTCATGTAAAATAACTATATAAATAATTGTATTTTCTGGGCATTTGCCTTTCTCATGCAGAATTAAATTTTACCTTCTCAGCTGGCCTTTTTGTCTTTCTAGCATTTGTGCATAATATACGAATGGTCAGTCAGCATATGCTGTCATGTTATGAAGTACTAAGGTTGAACAACAACAGACATTTAGAAGGTGGCGGCAGTATTTTTTTTAACTCACTTTGTTTGCATAGATCGATTCAAGTTACAAATATATACAAACTCATCAAGTGGAAAGCTGTCAGCAAGTTGGCAGCTGACAGCAATAAAACGAAAAGAAATTACGCTTTCTCCTTTAGTCTTCCATTCAGTCAGCCACTAATGATAATAATAAATTACTACTAGCTGGGAAAGCAAATTCTTAGACGTTTTAGAAAGTACTAGACCAACCAGCAACAACAACAGCGCCAATCACCATCAACGGGAGGGATTTGAAAGAGGTTACTTCATTCACTTATCTAGGAAGCATTGTCTCAACTACAGGAGTAACGGACGAGGATGTCAAATCGAGAATCGGGAAGGCGAGAAACACATTCATCAACCTGAAACCAATCTGGAAATCTTCGTCACTCAGCCTGCATCAACAACAAAATTCGGATTTTCAATACAAACGTCAAGTCAGTTTTGCTATACGTGTCAGAAACTTGGCGGGTCATAAAGAATATTTCCAACAGCCTGTTGCAGACCTTTATCAACAACTGTCTTCGCTCTATACTGAAGATCAGATGGCCAGAAAGAATCACCAACAAGAAACTATGGGAACAAACAAAACAAGAACCAATCGCCCAACAAATATGCAGGAGAAAGTGGAGATGGATTGGACACTCGCTGAGGAGGCCGCTGGGTAACATCGTGCGTCAGGCCATTGCTCGAGTGGAAGCCGAAAGGGAAGCGGCGAGTGGGACGTTCAAGGGAGACATGGAGGAGATCGTGTGAAGAAGAGCTGAAACAGTATGGACTAACATTTATGCAGGTGAAAAGTGCAGCACAAGACAGAAGTAAGTGGAGACGTGCAGTTGAAGTCCTATGTTCCACTAGGAACCCAAGGGAACAATATTAATAATAGACATGATAACATCAATTCTAGTGGCAATAGTATTCGAATAACAATAATCTTACCTTCTCTCCGGTGCAGACAACTGACTGTCTACTTCCCATACCTCATCTTCAGTGATACCAAGTTCACGGTCGATCATCTGGTTTATATCTTCTTCCATAGCGACAAGTGAACTTAAAAGAAACAAATACAACATAGTCATAAGCATTAATCTTAATAAGAAATGAGTTCATTTATAAATTCATGTATTTGAATAAGTAAGCCCTCAACATGTTGGATACAATGAATCACAAGTATGAAATTATTTATTCTTCAGTTTAATGCTTTTTTATTACACCTTTTGCAATAATGTTGAAGAATGTGTATAAATGAGAATGTGAATATCTAGAGCAACTCACTTTTTAATCTAGAGTTCTGGTTTAAATAACAGACCTGAACATCTAGATCACATCTGTATTGAACAAGTGACGTACCCTAATAGACCTGAATTAGTTGTCCTTCACAGCACATTCTCTCATGTTATTTAGTCCCTATGGCTATCTGTACATGAGTTAAACAAGTCTGCCTACTATTACCGATGATATTCCTGATTGTGGTGGACTGGATTATACGGAGCACTGTGCTTGGGCTGAAAGAAGACAGGAATACGCTGGATCACCGATAAGAAGACACTAGGAGATCTAGATCTCCCACATGGATGATTTATGTCTAATGTCACACAAACTCAAAGACTTACACGCGGAAATCAACAAACTGACTGAAGACGCTGGCAGCGAAGACACAACCCAGGTGAACATCGAGAAGACAGAGGTGATGAAACCAAACAACCATCACCACCACCACCACCAACAACAACAACAGCAGCTAGAACCAATCACTATTAACAGTAGGGATCTTGAAAAGATTACTTCCTTCGCTTGTTTACGGAACATTATTTCAAATACACGCATGCTCCATGGAAAGGCACAGACAACCACCAACATACTGAAATCACTTTGGAAATCTTCTGAACTCCTCAGAATCACAAAGAACAAGATTTGGACTGTCAACACCAATATAAAGTCAATCAGTTCTTCTATATGGATCATATAGTTGGTCTGAGCGTCACAAAAAGCGTCACATTTCGAACAGGCCAGTCCAGACTTTTATCAACAGGTGTGTTTGCTTTCTCCATACTAAAAATATGATGGCTGGCCGGTAAGAATGATGAGAGGAGAACTCTGGAAACGACCCAATCAAGAACCCTTCGCTCAACAGATATGCCGGCGAAAATGGAGATGAATGGGACGCACGCTGAGGAGATGGTCTAATGACACCAAGTGTTTAGAACCCGAATAGAAAACGACGAGTTGGGTATATGGAGGAGATTGTGTGAGGCGGGGATGAGCGACTATTAGCAATTGTCGGTCCAGATAAAGAGGACCGCAGAGAATATGAGAGATTAGAGATGTGCTCCTGTTAAAGCTCTGTGTTCCACTCGGAACCCAAGAGAACAATAATAATAATGCAGTTATCTATCACTTCTACAGCACTTTCATAATACTAAAGATTTCTTTATAGTGATGAAATTTCAGCTGATTTTTGGTGGGAAACCTTATTGTTGTTGATTTTGAACTCATTAATAGTCACAGAATAGTATATCTGAGATCTTTTAGAAGCTTATGAAACATTCAAGAATTTGGACTCACACCAATCAGAAATGTATTCAGTAATCTTTCATTGGCACTGCAAATTATACAAAGTGCTATTGATTGCTATTCTTAAGGACGGGAGTGAGACAAGGCTGTCTACTGTCACCAATGATCTTCCTGATTGCAGTTGATTGGATAATGCGGCAGACAACGGCAACCAACGAGGGAACAGGCATAAAATGGACCGACACAAAAGCCTTGGAGGATTTGGATTTCGCCGATGATATATGTCTGATTTCCCACAAACTGGAAGATATGCAAGTGAAAAGCAACAAATTGGCAGAAGAAGCAGCAAAGATAGGACTTCAAGTGAACATAGACAAAACAGAGGTAATGAAGATTCCTGGCCAACATCAACAGCAACAACCGACAACAATCAGCATAAATGGGAGGAACCTGAAGGAAACAACTTCTTTCACCTACCTGGGAAGCATCGTCTCAACTACAGGAGGAACTGACGAATCGGAAAAGCAAGACAAGTTTTCATTTCTCTCAAGTCTATGTGGAGGTCAACAGCATTCAGCGTCAAAAATAAGATCCGTATTTTCAACTCCAATGTGAAGTCAGTACTACTATACGGATCAGAGACTTGGTGTGTCACAAAGAGCAGCTCAAACAAGCTACAGACCTTCATTAACAAATGCCTTCGCTCAATACTCAAGATCAAATGGCCGGAGAGGATCAGCAACAAAGATCTCTGGGAGCGAACCAACCAGGAACCGATCGTGAAACAAATAGGCAGGAAGAAATGGAGATGGATTGGACACACTCTGAGGAAACCATCAAGTGACATCACTAGACAAGCCATTGCTCGAGTGGAACCCGAAAGGGAAGCGACGAGTTGGTCGTCAGTGCAAGGGTGACCTGGAGGAGATCATGTGAAGAGGAATTGAAAGCGTGTGGGCAGACTTGGAGCCAGGTGAAAACTACAGCAGAGAACCTAACGCAATGGAGACGCGTCGCTGAAGCCCTATGTTCCTCTAGGAATTAAAGGAAATAATAATAATAATATAAATAATAATATATATACATATATATATGGAATGTAGTTATACAGGTTGTTAGTCGCTGGTCTCATAATTCATTAAGGACACTACCTAATTCCCTCTCACTTCAGAGCCTGTGACGCAGGTTTGAATCTCCCCCAGAAGCAGCAGATTCCATATTTATTCAATGTATCACACAGTGAAATAGTATTATTTATCGGATGAAAACGTTTCCAACACAATTTGTTATTCATAATCATATCAGTTATAATTACATAGCTTTGACATTCGATTTTTACAGTTCTCCATTCTTTCTTTTGAATTCTGAATAATACTTTGACAAAGCTATTAGCATTAAATAGCAAAACGTCAGTAAAAACAATATCGTTTTGTTTTTTCATTCATTAGGAAATACAAAAAGCCTCCATTCTTTCTACCTGTTTTTAGAAGCATTATGGGATTCCCCAGATGTCCAGAACAGATACCAACCCATTAATATTGCAAATATTTTTAGCTAATTGGGAAAATAAGGCTTCCATACACCATATTATATTGGATTTTAAGATTGTCACTCTGTCCCATCCTTTCTACTATTTACGTTTTTGTGTATAACTGTAGGTAGTGCTGTATCTGAATTTTTTCCACATTTTTTGTGCTGTTAGGGTCAGTTTTTTGAGCCCTACTAATTGACCTGATCCTGACATATTACTTTGACTTCTCAATCATTGCACGGTTATTAGGCAAACTGTGTTATGTTGTTTCCACACATTGAATTGTTCAATTATTTAGCCATGCTATAACGTCTGATTAGTACTGTGACGTGTACTGCCTACAGGATTTATTAGTAGTAAATAAAGAGAGATTCATCGGCACAAAAATATCAAATAGTGGAGAGACAGATTTCACGTGAAAGAGAAGAAATGAACCAGTATTGCGACAGAACATGGAAAACACGAAAAGAAGACAAATGAAACACGATACGAAGGGCAAAAGTGTGCTGGTGTGATACAGACATATTCCCATAGTTCAATACGGCATTAGCAATAGAATACAATAAGTTTATTTGAACATTCTATTTGATGTTAGAGATAGAATACATTTCCCAAGGTTATATATATACAACAAAATACTAGGTATGCTTGAACATTCTTTTTCTTGTCGTTTGATATAAAACGAAATCACAAACTCAGTGACTGGTTAACGAATATAAACTGTAGATGTATAAAAAGCAGTTTGATCAATGGAAAATATACTCTGGCTTCAGTGCCTTGCCTTCTGCTGTTACAAAAGAACTGTGCCTTGCCTTCTACCGTTACGGAAAACGGAGGTGATGAAGATTCCTGGCCAACACCAACAGCCACAGCAACAACAACAGACAGCAATCAGCATAAATGGAAGGAACCTGAAAGAAACTACCTCCTTTACCTACTTGGGAAGCATTGTTTCAACTACAGGCGGAACTGACGAGGATATCAAAGCAAGGATCGGGAAAGCAAAGCAAGCTTTTATTACTCTCAAGTCTGTGTGGAGGTCAACAGCACTCAGCATGAAAATGAGAATAACATCCAGATTTTCAACTCCAATGTGAAGTCAGTCAGCGCTACTATACGGATCAGAGACTTCCACTGAGCGTCATAAAGAGCACCTCAAGCAAACTACAGACCTTCATTAACAGTTGTCTTCGCTCAATACTCAAGATCAGATGGCCATCCAGAGAAGATCAGCAACAGTGATGGATCTCTGGGAGCGAACCAACCAGGAACCGATCGTGAAACAAATAGGCAGGAAGAAATGGAGATGGATTGGCCATACTCTGAGGAAACCATCAAGTGACATCACTAGACAAGCCATTGCTCGAGTGGAACCCGAAAGGGAAGCGACGAGTTGGTCGTCAGTGCAAGGGTGACTTGGAGGAGGTCATGTGAGGAGGACATGAAAGCATGCGGGCAGACTTGGAGCCAGGTGAAAACTCTAGCAGAGAACCGAACGCAATGGAGACGCATGGCTGAAGCCCTATGTTCCTCTAGGAACTAAAGGAAATAATAATAATAATAATAATACCGTTACAGTAGCACGAACACTTAGGGAAATCTACATTAGTAGACCAGAATAAGATAAATGTTGAAAAAAAGCTCAGTCGTACCACTACATGCAGTTAAACACAAAGGATGGGATAATGTGACGGTCTTAAAATCTAGTGTAACAGAGCGGAGAGATAGAGAGAGAGAAAAACTAGTAACTAAAGTTATATTTATCCAGTGAACTGAGGATATGTACAATATGGGCAATTTAATGCGTATCCAAGACATATGGAAAATTTTATTTCCCTTACGACAAGTGGGCAGGAAGAATGAGAGCTATAAAAATCGAATTTCAAAGTATGTAATTATAACCGATATGATTACGAACATTACATTGTGTTCGAAACGTTTTCAGCGAAAATATCTTTTCGGCGATATCATTTTCAAAAGCAGCTGTACAATCGCATTTAAATAC